GAGGGGGTGTTGGCAAGGGAGGTAAACAGTGAGGGGGTGTCGATTAAAGGGGTGAAAGATAAGAGCCAATGAGTGTTGGTAAAATGGGTGTTGTGTGAGAAGGATCGGTCAGTCTACGAACGGATAGAGAAGCAATAAATGTGGTAGGGGGGGAAAAAGTGGGAGCTGAGGCATGAGGAGGTAGTGGGGGTTGATGGGAAAAGGGACGAGGGTCCATTTGTGTCCAATGATGAGGGCGGAATTGTCGTCGTGGAGACGACTGTCTAGCCATTGGAAGAATTGCATTGAAACCGTTGGGGTGAATAGTTCGAAGTTTCTTAACAGAGAAACCCTCGAGGGGTGCAACAGCCCGTCGAAAGAGTGCATGATCAACAAGACCTTCAGACGTAGGATAAAGGGTAGGATCGATGCATTCCAAAGACCAAGCCGCAAAGTTGAATGCTGGTTGCCCACACATTGCAGAGTATATATGGTGATGGTGAAAAACAGCAGAAGAGTGTCATGTATGTCAATGTTCTTGCAGCCGTTGGTGTGCAAAATGCATCGTCTGTCTAATATAAAAATGTCTAGAAGGCAAATGAACAATTGCATAAATCACTCCTCGAACAGTGAGGGGGTCCATACCTGGCTCAAGAGGTTGTTGATCAACACCTCGCAATTGTAACTCAAACCGCTCGGCCTGCACAACATTGTTAAGATGACGGAGTTGTTTCTTGCGCCACCTTTCTGCAGAATACAAGTTAGTATTCCACTCCAGGTGTGCACGCCAATCTAGTACACGATGAACGACAGATGCCTAGCGGTTTGACATGCGGGCAGGAGCAAACAGAACATAGTGTCCAAGATGAAAGCTTGGTATAACACCTGTCATGCCAGCAACATGAAATTTCCCGAGAGGGTTGGGAAGTATCGAGGTTGCCCCTTGATTATTCCTTAATTGTAGATTCATTGTTGTTGGTTTATGGAACAATTATTTTTTCAATATTTCAATTTTCCAATGCAAAGAAATGGAGGTGAGTGCACAAGTTGAAAAGACTTTAGGCTTGATGACTCAGGTCGGGATCCTGCCATTGTGCTTTTTGTTTGTTGTTCACCGTCAGCAGCACTGTCAACGAGGGCGCTCAGTTTGAATGCGAAACTGCATCTCCCAATGAGTGTGCTCACAAAAGTTATCCTGGAGCCTTGCATCAACAGACCAATAGTGCCTACATAAAAAGGTGTCACCAAGCAATTGACACATGCATAAACCAGCGTAGACGGATTATCTCAAAGAAGATGGAACAAGAGGTGAGTGGGCATGGGGGCAGCCGCCCGATTGTCGCCAACCTTAGGCAGGATGTAACTATACCCACTGCATGGGAAAGGGGTACAACCCGTGCCCTTGCCGTGACCGCCATTACAATCGCATCGTGCACATAAGGAAAAAAAGTACATAACAGTTGTACACAACGAATAGACAAAATGGAATGTACAGAAGGAATGCACATGTAAGGGATATATAACAGGAATGTACATAGTTACAATACCAAACTTACTTGAAAGGACAAAGAGCCAAGCAAAACATCTGTGACAAAATCTGTCATAAAAAAGAGTGAAGTAGCTGAGTTTCTCATGAAACCAGCAAAATGAGCATAGAACTGCAAAGCACGCAGGAGGTTGGTCAACAGAGGCAACAAAGAAAAAAGGGGGAGAAAAGGGAACAAGATAAGAAGATCGATGCAGGAGGTAAGAAAGAGAGACAATTATCTTCCACAAGAAAAAGTCAGTGCATGGTTGTACAGGTATACATGTTTACATATATATAGATATAGATACTTATGGGACCCCTTGGGGATGCGTTCGGCCGTTCGGGCCGAACACGAACCCCAAAAAAAAAAAAAAAAAAAAAAAAAAAAAACGTCATAAAAAAAATCTGAAAAAACGATATGTTATGGAGAAAAATAAATTAAACAAGATTTGCCTGATCATTACATCCGAATTCCTTACCAAATTTGCAATAAAAATAAAATACTAAAAACAAATACAAATAATAAAAATAAATAAAAATAAAAAGAGAATTAAATGTCGTGAGTGCGCGAGCATGTTTTCGACACCGCCATCTTTGGCGATTTTTCATTTTTTTTTTTGCATAGCTAAATGCCCTGAAAATTTACAGATGTGTACTTCCCATAATACAAAACCAACTAAAAAAAGTTTCGAAAAATAATAAAATTGTGTAGACCCCAAACTAAAGTGAAAACAAAAAGTAAAAAGTGAAAAAATACGTGGGTGAGCACGTTTTGACACCGCCATCTTTGGCGATTTTTAATTCTTATTGGGCTTAGCCAAATGACTTGCAAATTTACAGGCATGTACCTCACGTCAGAGAGAACTCTAGGCCCCGAAATAATTTCTGGCGGGGGCCAAACGCCGTCGGGTTCGGACCCCGTACGGGACCCCGAACACCCGTACGTACGGAGGTCTGCCCGGTGACCTCCGTACGTACGGGCTGGTGACACTGTATATATATATATATATATATATACGATTTATATTAATTTTCTATATGTATATGAACCATCAAACAGAGCTGCGAGGTGAACCGTAGGCAGAGAGAGGGAGAAGAGGACAACAAACGAGGGGCTGTGATGGATTGTTTCGTAGGAGTCTCACCGACTCATCAGGAGGCTGACAGCTAGTGCAAGCTGTAGGTGCAAAGCTGAGTTTCAACATGGATACCCACTTCTAGCCATAGATTTGGAAGAGCCATGGCCAGAGAAAGAGGACAAGGGTCACAATGACCTCACCCCTAGAGCACAAATACCCCCTTGGTTCCCCCTCTTCTCTCACTTTGCCTACTACCACTGCCGGTAATTCAACAACGGCATGTGTCCCTGTGTCAGTGAGGTGCTCCAACACCAGATACCCAATTCTGACTCTTTATCTCCGAGATGACCTCTCCGAGATAGCCTGTCATCTCGGACCCAAGGTGTCGTAGATCGATGGTGAGGAATCAAGTGGACCTTGCCTGATCTCAGCATTGCCAACCAGCCTGCATTGCCTGGTGACGAGAACCTGCCGTCC